AAGTAATAATTTATTGGTCAAGTTTAAATAACAATATATATTTTTTTGTAAATTAAAAATATAATTTAATTAATTATATATTAACAAGTTTTGTGATGACTCTTTTTTTTTTTCATATCAGAAACAGGTGCTACCACACTGTATAGAACTTTAAGAAACAATTCAATAATATGCTAAAATTTGAGACTCAACTATACATTTATTGCGTGAAGTTACAGTTTATGAGACTCATAAGAGTAAAATCGAGATCAAGAAGAGCAAGACCAAGAGCAAGAGAATGTATGATTGAGCAAGATCAACAGTAAGAGCAAATGAATACTTTTATCAATTTCAAGATAGGAAGACCGAGAGCAAATTCGAGGTCAAAGGAAGACTCAGAAGAATACTTTTATGATTTTAAAAAATTATTTTATAGAATAGATCTAAAATTTACTGTACAAACATTATTAAAAATTTTGTGAGTCTCATGAATTAAAACTTTACGCAAAATATATATAATTGAGTATCAAATTTTAACATATTACTGCACTGTTTATCAAAGTTCTATATGTGTGTGTGTGTGGTTGTAGTGCTTATTTCTTATATAAGAAAGTGGGTGGTTACATGTTCGAAGGTAAGAAAGTCAACTTTCTAATGTCTTAGCAAATGATTTTTACATATATAATATTACCCTTTGGAGGAAGGTGGTTGTCTTTGCATGTGACCATGATTTATCAGTACATGCCATGGAATCAAGTTTTTTATACATATATACAATATATATATACAATAATATTATATCTTAAAAGATCAAGAAGGGAATCCATGGCATCCCTGGCTTCTCAATGATCTCATTCATTCATGGCTACGCACATTACAAGATTCTTTTAGCACCTTCGTGTTTTATTATTTTATGCATGTGCAAACACACACACACACACAGATATACATATACATATACATTCATTCATCCATTTATATATATATATATTATGACTTAAAGAATTTGTTCGAAGGGTTTATATGCATCACATTTATGGATGCATGATAAGCAAAAGTATATCATGCATGCATGCATGCTTTCAGTGTTTTTTTTTTTTGGACGTAATGAATATTGATGATAAAATATAAAAATAATATATATACATTCTTGAGAGTAATAGGAATATTGGGCTTGTTACAATTTCTTGGGCCTACTTCTCGTTTTTTAACATGCAAAACGGTGCGTCGCACTCTGAACTCCCCTCAGACGACGTCGTTTGTCTTCAACTTTACCCTTCACAAATTTCACTGGCATCATCCATCATCGCCTGCAGTTTTTTCCTTTTCGTAAAAAATCCCCGCATGCAGTTGAACTTGTCCGGGAAGTGCTCGACAGAAGTCCCGTAAGAACTCCACCGGGCAGACGACAACCAAGCTATCAAGTATTTCGATTTTGAGTTTTTATCTAACTATTAATTTCAAAGAATGCAACGATTATCATCCATATTTCGACGAGCTGTACTCTCTTCGTTCTCAATTTTGTTCACAAAATCACCATCTCCTTGCGGTTTTCACTCAAAACCCAGTTTCACCACCTTTTCTCTCCGAAAGAATGGAGGAAATCTGCATCCCGTGGCGATTCCGGGTAATTTCTTGAAGTGGGCTTCACTTGGTTCGGTCAGAACCTCAAGGTTTGCTACTGGGTTCGCGCCGCTGGAGCCGAAGCCAATTGATTCCATCATGGATGTCGAGAGAGCTAAGAGTAAATCGACTGAGGAGCTTGTTTCTATCTGGGATGATGTATGGATTTTTTTTTTTCCTTTTACGTTTTCTGGTTTTTTAATTCACTATAAATGGTAGTTCCTGTTGCATTTGGCTTGAATTTGTTTATTTGTATGTTCAATGCCCTTTTGATTTTAGGTTGAGCGAGAAATGTTCTTTTCTGTTCAGTGCTTGTAGGATTCATGCGTTGCACTGGTAACTAGTTATGGATGTCCTTAAGGCCTAGGCTTTTTTTTTTTTTTTAATTAAAAAAATTAAAAAACTTGATTTGTTGAGGAATTTACATGAGTTGGATTGATGGAAACAGTATAAGAAAAAAATTTGATGAGTTTCTATTGGTGTAGTTTATGAACTGGATATTGATTTTCATATTTGAATGAACTTTACTTCTACTTTCAATTTCTTGAAATGGATGTGTAATTTCCAATTAGAATTCAAGTTAGAATTAGAATTGAATCAAGCAACATTTATTATCCAATTGTACATACTGAAGATATATTGGTAATTAAGTTGGAAGAAAATAAAATAAAATTGGATCAAACAGGGTGTTAGTGTATACTATTAGACATTCTACTGTACCGCCTTAAGCTTATAAGAGTCTTTTGATGTTGTATGGATTTTACCATCCCTAGAGTTCCTTTCCCTTTTGCTTCTTTGTAGGAAATCTTTTCGCTCTGTTGATCAGATTTGTTCCAGTAGAGCTAATTGTGTTTGAACTATTTGGAGGTTATATAGAAGGATAGAGAAAATTTTGGACATTATGATTGAATAAGAGTTTGTTGATGTGCAAGCTTTACATGAGGATTTTCTTGGTCATCTCATTTTGCTCTTTACTTTTTTCTTTGGTTTATTCTTATACCCACATGTACTTAGATTGTAATTTCTTTTCTTTTGTTTTTGGATATTCATAGCCTTTCGTAAAGGCGGGAATAAATTCAAAGGGTAGTTTTCTGTTAGGTTTTCTTTGAAATTTTTCATTTGGATGTTGCCTTTTGTTTTCCTTGTTGCTTTTTATTTTCTGCAAATTTCATTCTACTATATACCAGTTTATTAGGTTACACTGGCTATAGCTGTATCATCCTGTGAGGGAATATTACTGTTACCTCTCTCCTTAATTGGTCGAGGTAATACTATTTAGGGGTTCTGCAACTCATTGATACCAATGAGAAAGCAGACTATTTTCACTATCCTTTCCTACTGTTCTCCCTCCCTTCTACCTACATTCTCTCTACTTCCTCTCGTTGACCTTTTACCATTTTCTCTCTTTCTTCCTGCTATTTCTGGTGGAATTGTTGAAATCCATGAGCCAGAATCCAGACAGAAATTTTGCTGAGTTGATACTTGGACTCAGCCCCTAAAGGTAAAGGAGAAATCCTTTTAAGGCTATAATACTGCCGGGTGGCTAATTGAATTGCTGATCACCCTTGTGCATTTAAAAAAAGTCATATTTGTTGAAATACCTGGTTATGGAGCAATGTATTATTATCAAAACTTTGATTTCATTTATTGGATCATTTATGGTTTTATGGGGTTCTTGTTGTTCTAGTATCACCTGGGAAGAGGTCATATTGGGTTGTCCATGAAAGCAAAGCTTTATCATTTGTTGGAGCAAAGAGCAACTGATTGGTAATCCATTTACTCAATGGTATTATTGCATGTATACTTTGTGCTTTCCTGTTTCATGATGTTAGTTTTTCTTATGATGGCAGCCGGTATTTTGTCATTCCTTTGTGGAGAGGAAGCGGTTATACAACAATGTTTGCTCAAGGTTTGGTCTCTAATGCCTAGTAGTTTCTTACATTCTGTGATGAATTTACAACTTAAAAATAGAGCTTCTTTTGGTGAAAAATTTCCTTTCTTGATTAGACCCTGCTTACATATTTTAGGAATCGAGTTCAGTTGTTACCACATTTGAGAAATAAACCATGAGATCATAAATCTAGAACTATGTGGAACTCACTTATTTTAACTACAGCGCTGCATGTGTTTTTTTAAAAATAAACTACAGCAATTCATGTGGTTCAGGTCTATTCTATTCTTGTTCTTCTAGTAGATATTTAATTTTGGTATATAGAATTTACTCATAATTTATATACTTCAATGTATAAGTGAACCACTACAGTCATGTCTTCAATTCAAACTTAACCTAAATGCTTAAGGAACTGGATAGAAGAGAAAGAAGAAAGGAGAACTTTTTACTGATAAACTTCGCCTTTTGCTTAAGCTACAACATTATGCTGGTAGCTTTTTTGTTATTTGTTCATTTCAACCTTTGCACCAGAAGAAGAACATCTATAGGACTCACTAACCTTTTCGATTAACCCTCTATACATCCTGATACTCATTACCAATCTTACACAATTGTTCCTTTCAGCTGCATGTATGAAATGCACAAAATAGATGAACATATAATACTGTGGTAGACAGGAAAAACCAAATGGACAAAGATTTTAGAGATTTATAGTTACCATATACTACAATATATTATTATAGCCGTGTAGCTGTTCGGTTGGAGTTGGATGCTGGTTTATCTTTTTTTTTTTTGAAATAATGGATGCTGGTTTATCTTGTCCTAACCAGAGAAGAAGAACTAAAAGGAAAAAGAAAATGAACGTTGAAGAGAGACAGAGATGCTAAGATGAGACCATGAGAGAAAGGAATTGCAGAGAATTGCAACCATGTGACAAGTTTTTCATTCATTACTTGAGAATTGCTAGAATAAAACACTCAAGTTATGTAACTGCATTTAAACAAACGAACGAGAATGCAAATTACTGACTAAAATTCAGGAACAGAAACAAACTTCTATGAGTTCTTACCCTGAGTATTAAGAGCCAAATAAGAGACAGTAGTAATGTAAGTTTCCAATCATAATATATGCCTCTTCACTTGTCTCCCACTCCACCCCCGAATCCCTTTATTAAGCCTTGGATTCAAACACCTTCACCCACAGTCCACTTACATTCTCAGCCCTTGGCGCCTCAAGTGAACCCGTACTCCCTCAGACTTGGTCTCTCAGTCGAACCAGAAGAGATCCAGCCATGAGTTGTCCAGACCATGACAGCAGAACCACCAAAGCTCTCTCTCTCATCTTTATGACTCTAACTATTTCTCTCTCTCATCTTATCTAATATCTCTCATTCTCACCCTCTCACACTCTCACTCACATTCACCAGTCACACCTGTCCCCTGATCAACGATCTTCCCTACTCAGCATTCGCTAGTCACCCACCCTACGGCGACAGGTGATGGCCTCACCCTCCGTTTAAATCAGGTATCAGACTCTCACCTCTCTTGAATCATATCTCTCTCACCAGGCAGTCACAATTTTATTAATCATATCTTTGACTCAATAAAAAAAATGATAAATTTGTATTCACAGTTAGGAAAAAATAACTGAAACAAAATTTAAATTGGACATGTAATTTACTTGAAATTAAATTATTTATTTTCGAAATAAAAAGTATGTGGTATATATTGATGAATTAAATTATTGTTTTATTTATATTTATTTTTGTTCCTATTTCATAAAGTGAAATTTGAACTGAAATTAAACTAGATCCATTACTGCTGAAGAAATTGTTATTTCTATAGGTTTTTATTCTATTTTATATGCAGTGCAGATGCCACACATCCTTTTCACTGGTCTTGAAGATTACAAGGCAAGAGGAACTCAAGCAGCTCCCTACTTGACTGCAACTTTTTACACCGAATTTGCAGAAACCAAGGACTTGGTACTTATACGGGGAGATGTCGTGTTCACCAGCAAGCTCACCGATGAAGAAGCGAAGTGGCTTCTGGAGACGGTTCAGTCTTTCTATCTGAATAATACGAGGTACAAACTCGTTGAACGGTTTAATAAAGAAACACGAGATTTTGAATTCAAGGATGTTCTACGAGCTTTGGACATGCCTGTTCTGTGATCTTTGTTTTTTTTTTTTTTCTGAAAAAATAAAATCCCGCAAAACATTTTGATATTGTGGAATAGAATTCCTTCTACGATGTCGAGAGAAAAGTAGATCGAGATTGATTTTTCTCTAGTTAATATTGAGATTAAGCATATTTAGAAAAACTGAGAGGTTTGTATAAGCTTTATTTGTTGGAAAATTGTAATGGCTAAATTAAAGCAAGTAATATTGTTTTTTTTTCTGTTCTTTGTGCTGGACTACCTTATTTTATACTTACAGGCAACATAATTTATGAATTTTATAAAATACTTAAATTAAAATGATATCTATAATATTAATAAAGATATATTAGACTATATAACAAAATTAAGTACACTAATATCAATTGTTTAAAATTTTATTTGTGTATAATTGGTAAAATATTTAAAATAAAGTGATATATGATTAATATTAAAAATATTTAGTACGGGTTTATTGAGAGGTATATATAATTAATCCGATGTCGCATGCTATACAGTTATGTATATATAATTAATCCGATGTCAGATAATACACGACTATGTATATTAATTGAAAAAATATAGAAATATTTGTGTGTATGTGTAACGGCTCCGAAAATTTAAATGAAATATATGTATTAAAAATGTCAAATGCGGAAGTGTAATAAAAATTTTGATTAACATCCCTTACACAATAACCAAAACGTACTCAAAACATGAAATTAAAAACTAACTAAGAAAGATACTCGAAATAAAAACTACAAATATAACTATAAAGTCTTTAGGCGTCCCCTTCGCCGTCTTCTTGAGGAACGGGCTCGGGAACAACGTCTCCTTGATCTGAAATGGTTAAATAAGGAATGAGCTACACCAGCCCAGTAAAGACATCACATTATCTCACCGCCACGGAAATAAAGGTGGGTAGAAAACAAAAATGACCAATTGAGCATCATTTATAACAAATTCATTAATCAGTAATAAAATCCTTTACTGTCCACTTTCCTTGGCGAGATCCATGAAAACAATAATTTTATAATATCATGAAATCATACACACTTTATAACATAACATATATCACACCTTTACATTTCAGTCATCAGTAAACAGATTTCCTCTTTTACCAGCCTACTAGTATCCCTGGGATCCATAGGGGGTCCCCTCTACACGTGAACCATTAACATTTACAACCTGATTCCAGGGCCGTCCCCATACCCCGTCCGGTATGGACACCAAAACCATGAATCTCAATACCCTGTCCGGTATGAGGGTAAAACGGGCCGTCCCCATACCCCGTCCGGTATGAGCGCCAAAACACATAAGGTCTCCATACCCCGTCCGGTATGAGAGACCACTTTCCCGGTAGGGTTCCCTACGGACTCGGTCCGTCCACCATCTCCCAAGATATTTAGTCAGACTGTTCACATTATCCATTTATCAATTCATATAACCTTTTTGCCTTTTTCCTTGATCTCAATCATCCAATCATACACAACATGTAACTCAGTAATTGACACCAAACAAGATAACACAGTATCGGGTTAATCATAATATCAACCATAATAAAAGAAACCATGATTCATGCATACGAGACCATAAAATAAATACATCAGATATCATGCTGCATTTAATACTGAAAATTAGATTAAACAATAACAGACCAAC